CGCCCACCGAGCGCGGCGGCTAGAGAGGACCCCGGAGCGGCCACGGGAGTGGGCGTGTGGGGGCTGGCGGAGCGTGCGCAGACTGGAGGCTGAGGGCCCGGACGCCATCTTTGATACTGGCCCGACGACTGCGTCTTGGCGGTAGCTGCCGCCCGCGCCATGTTAAGTCAGGGCAAAAGGCACGGAGTAATTTGGACCCTGGGCGCGGACCCAAAATCTTAAAGCCGTGTTGGAAGTGGAGGTGAGCACACACGTTCAGCAGTTCCGATAGTCCAGGAGAGTCGTGTTAAAATCTGAGATACTTTTCTACCCCATTACCGTAATTTCAGGCCAATGCTTATCTACTCGCGGAGTGACGGGGAAAATTCCCGACTTTACGCACTGCCAGCTCTGATCGCAGCCTTGGGCGCGGCTCTCATAGGCGGGGTGAGCCCAGCCCTGCTTATCTAGTCTGTTTCTCAACCTCGAGAAAACAATGAGTGGGGAGAGGAAGGCGTTCCAAAGTAGAAGGCCTTGCTGCGTGTAACGCTGAAATTACTCAATTTAAAAACCAGCGACGTCGCAGCCGCGTAGCTCCGCGGCTGAGCACCGACCTGGGAGCCGCGCGATCTCGGTGTGATTCCGGGTCAGGGCAGGAGCCGGGTTGCGGGCTCCCCAGCAGGGGGCGTGCGGGAGGCAGCCCATCAATGACTCACATCGCATCATTGACGTTTCTCTCCCTCTCCCTTTCTCTTTCTGAAATCAATAGACATATTTTAAACAATAAAAATTAGTGACTCAGTTATGAATCAACGAAAAATGATGTTTTATGTTCACGTAATTTCACTGGGTGAAGAGGACAGGGTAAGGGTAGTAGTTGGAAGGGATTTCCTATGTGCAGATTATAAATTTCCCAATATGGGCAAATGGTGCAACCAGAGCAGCAGCCAGGCTTCCCTCTCCCCAGTCCGGAATCAGGACCTCAGCTCTGGCTGCATACAGAATGGAGCATCTCAAAATAAAACACATGGGAAGTTTTGCCAATAAACTTGGCCATTGTTACATGGAAGTAAGGTACTAGGTGGAAAGGTGATAATATAGTTTATACATGTATAAAACTTTATTATTTTATAGATACCTATAAAAAAACTCCCCAATTGTTCTATTTGTGGAAATATTAGCTAATGATATAAGGAAACATATTTTTGTTAAATGTAAGCAAAAATAAAAAACCCATTGCTGAGAGGCAAATGGCTCAAACGACAATTGAGATTGCAGCCACAAAGGAAGATGCAGGTGGCGTCGAAATCTGACCTCAGAGCAGTGCGGCAAACATGCTAAATTCTTTTCCTTGGTGTTATTCAGACTGTATTTCACATGCAACCAATTTTATTTAAAACATAATCTATTTAACTGAAAGGAAGTCTTGTTCTTCATCTGATATATGAAAATCAGAAAACATCTGCTAGAATATGTTTGCTAGTCAATGGACAGTCATGAAAAATGGACAAATGGGTCATACCTTAAGTGACATCACTGGGACTTTTTTTCTACCCACTCACTTTTCTGCCTCTCTCTGCTTCACTCTAGGTCTCAGAATCCTTTATCCTGAAGATATGGTTCCCTGTACGAGTAGGCAACTTTCTAGTTTTCAAACCCAAAGGGAGGCCACTGCCCCCCAGCATCCATTTTAAACAATCTTGGTAAATACACTTGAGGCACATACCCAAAACCTGGACAGTCACTGTGTCCAGAAGAAAAGAATGCAGCTTTGGTCAATAGGTCAGACAGTCACAGTTGCAGTAAGGAGGGGTGGGCCACAATCCCCAGGCCCAGGAACAGCATGGATGGATCAGACACTGTAAGATCACTACAATCCCATTTTAATTTTACAGATTTGGAAATCTGACCCCCAAAAGCTTAATCTGTCAAAAACTACATAGTAGTAAAATGGGTAATAATGCAAATGAGGTATGCCTCTTGTGCTCTTGACTTTTTAAGACCCTCGGTCTTTCTGGCTTTAGTCTGTGAAATAAAGTAAATGTAAGGATTTTGAGCTACTTGAGGAAATTAGCTGTTTTAAACAGATATGAATACAGAGTAATTAACAGTAGTTAATCATAAAGAGTGCTTTGTTTCTAGGGAGATAGAGGGGTTCCAACCCAACTCTGCCACCTGGTAGCTGAGTAACCTAGGTAGAGCAAAGTACCTCAGAGTTAGTGGTGAGCTAAATGTTTTTTTTTAAAAAAGCACTAAGCACATAGCTTACATAGCATAAGCACACCCTCCCCCCCCATATCCCCCAAAGATGCCACTGCATTAACAAATGCTAGTTAGTGTTTCTCATTCCTACCATGGGGAAACCCTCTCAACAAGGCAAAAGTGTGTAATTTAACACCTACACTCAGGCACTAATCAAAGCTGGGATCTGGCTGTACCTACGACAGCAGGGTGTAAGACAGTAAGACTGGAGAGGAAGCCAAGGACAACTGTGTGTCCCCTAGGCAAAGCACTGGACATGGGGATATGGAATCAGGCCTGACTCTGCCACTATGTGATCTTTGGCAAGACACTGCCATCTGTGTAACGGGGATTTGGTTTGGTGACATCCATGTCGTTTCCAACTTTTAACTGTCTGTGGTCCTACCCAGACCCTCATCATCAGGAGGCACAGGGAAGATGTGGGTAAGCCTTACACGCTGTGCCTCATCTCTTCTTGGGAATTACGTTGTTGGTACAGCTAAACCATGAATCTTCTACTCTGTTAAGTCTCAGAGGATGAGGGAGTCTCCAAGTTTAGTTGGCGAAAAAGGAGCCATTCTCCCTCTGTGCAGATACCAGAGCGAAGGTGAGCGAAGGACTTCGCTGTGCGTTACCACCACCACCAACTGAACTGAGCGGTGCTTTTCACTTGATGTTTTAGGTGTGGCTAATCACAACTTTTTGGGAACTGGTAGGAGTTCAGATTAGGTTTGGGAAACCGAGCTGGAATGGAAGCCAGAGTTTATTGTTCCTAATAATCACACTTACACATTTCAATTCATCAAACAGTTTACTCAGTAAACATATGGGCACAGAGGTTTTCTTTTCAAATACAGCACAGAGGCAAGTGTCAGCAATAGGTCTGAGCTGATGCAGCCCCCTGACCCGTAGACGCACTGTCAGTGGGAGCAAATGTCATCAGCAAACAGAGGCTGTGCCTCACCAAAGGAACATCAGCCTGACCTTTGTTTTTAGCTATTTACCCCATTCTCGTACAGGAAGCATGGCTGGTCCCAGATCTCAAACATCATCACTTGATGCACTCTGCTTCATACAAACATATGTAATAGGATAAATCTGTGGAACTTGCTTACGCCTGAGAATGGCCTTTCCCTTCACTATGTGGAAGAAAAGGGGGCAGGGAGAATCCTGACAATGGAAACGACATTATTTTCACATATAGATCACACCGCTGCTAGGGAAACTATTACAGGGAACTGTCACTGTGCATATTCCAATTATGCCCAAGTCTCAAAATACTTACTTTACTTGCTAGCTAATTCCTTAAAGTCAGGACAGAGTGACACACAAGCTTATTAGCATAGACTACACTTACTATGCTTCGTGAGATTATGAGTGCAGCAACTCTGGTTTGATCCTAGAAAAGTTGGTTCTCTTTTGGCATAGTTTGTGGTGGAAACTGGTGTGGTGCCTTTGAAGAGGTTCTCTATACTAATTGTGACTACAGAGGTGAGAAATCTTGTCTGTGGTTACAGATTACATGAATTATACACAAAACCAGCAGAACATGAATGAGGATGTTTTAATTACACAGCACAATTTTTAAGAACGAGAGTACTGGGAAGTATCGATCATTCATTTCTTTCTTCATTCAATAATGGGTTATTGTTTTTTTCTTGCCCACATAATTAACATAATAACAATGCTTTCTTGTAAGTTGTTTGGCTAACCCAGAGGTAGCATGAGACTTCATAAATGTTTTGGTGTTGTTACTGAAGAAGGGTGAGTAATGGCTGCAAGACCACTTGCATATGTAGCAGACGGCAACAGCCTCCTGAGCATTTACATTTGTAGCAAAACAAAAACACACACACAAAAACTTTGATATTTGTTGTAATTTCTACTGAGTTGTTAAAACACAAAAAGAAAATATTGATGTTTAATGTGAAATTGTAATAGAGGTCCGTCTATGCTCCATGAGACACAAGTTCCAGTAAATGATGCTCATCACTTAGCATATGGCACATTCAAAATATTAGCTCAAGAACATTTGATAAAGGGACTATTTACAGATATGTGGTCCAAATTAAGGAAACTAATCAGGTGAAGCAGCCAGCAGCAGCGATCACCCTTAAGTCTGAAGAGCAAGGAGAGGGATGTCAAAAGATAAAGTTGGGGCTGCTCCCCAGTCGCTGCAGAGACACAGGGAAAGACACTTCAAACCAAAGCCCAGCAGGAGAGACAAGTAAATACTCCAGCCTCTCTCCTCCCATCCACTCATCTCACACAAGGACCTCCCACGTTCACACTAAGCAGAAACCCTAGCAGTCCCTGGAGGATAATCCCTGGACAGCCCCAGGAATGCACAGCAGAGAAAGGAGGAAAATAGGTACGGAGATGTAGAGAACAGCCAGCACACAGATCCACATGTGCAACTCCTACTGTGCAGCTGTTACAAATGTAAGTCATCCTGATCCCCAAGGAAACAGGTTTGACTCAGATAACACAGTCTATTCAACTATTTTTAGATTCATACTTACACACTATTGTCGTCATACACTTTACTTCTAAATAGATCATAACCTAAAACACATTGTCATTGCTTTGGCTGTAAGCAGGGCTATTACTTTTAAAAAGATTTTAAAATGAGAAAAATTTATATTTACCCATATAGTCACCATTTCTAGAAGTCTTCCTTTCATCTTGCAGATCCAAATTTCCACTTAGTGTTTTTTTCCTGCTGCCCCAAAACTTCTGAAGGCCAGGTCTACAGATGAAAATTCTCTTTGATTTTGTTTTTCTGAAAAAAAAAATTTTTTTGCTTTCATTTTTGAAAGATGGCTTTGATAGGTAAACTCTAGGTTGAATGTTTTTTATCCCTTTCGGTAATTTACAGGTGGTACTCCATTGTCTCTAGCCTGCATAGTTTCTGACCCGAAGTGTGCTGTCATTCTTTGTCTTTTTTCCTTCAGTTGCTTTACTGTTGTTCTCACTGGTTTTCATCAATTTGACATGATACCCATTGGCATGATTTTCTTTTGTTTTTCCTGTTTTGGATTCTTTGAGCTTGAATATGTGGAGTTATACTTTTCAGTGTATGTGGAAATTTTTCAGCAATTACGTATTCAAGTACTTTCTTTTGCCTCTTCTCTCTTCTCTTCTGGAACTCTAATCATGTGTATTTTACACCACTGTAACGCACCCCCCATTTGCTCCCCTCCATCTTTTTTCTCTGTGTACATATTTGGATAGTTTTTATTCTCACTGTTCACTATTTTTTCTTCTCTAAGAAATTAATTCCACCCAGATAGGTTTTAAATTTTAAGTTGTTCTCATCCTGAGAAATAACATTTGGGCTTTTAAAAATATGTCTTCCACTTCAAGTTTCATCAATTTGTTTCCCCTCACTCTGTAACACCTACATGAACATCCTGTTGACCAATTCTAACCACGTCAGTCTCTTCTAGGTCTCTTTCTACTGATTACTTTCCTACTGGTTACAAGTCTCATTTCCCTGCCAGTAGCTTTTTGGAAGTCAGGCATTGTGGGTCCAGAGTAGCTTTTAATCTAGCGTGAATTACCATCACTACCAAGGCAACAGTCTTCTGGGAATTCTACTTGATGCCCCGTGTGTTAAAAGTTGTTTCCACTGTGGCTGGTGGGAACTGTTAGAAGTCCTGAACTAAGTTCCAGGAACTGTTCAGCCTACTGCTTTCCAGCCTACTTTATCTGGTCTCAGGAAGTTTCTTCTCACAGATATGCAAGTTGGCACTAAGCCAAAAGACTTAAGTCCCTCCTTATAGATTTCTTCAGTCCTCTCCCGAAAAGCCCCCCTCCTCTCAAGCACATTCCCATGCATATTCTAGCTACCGTGGCCTCCCCAAATGCCAATTCAGCAAGATTGCATTTGTTCCCTTCCCTGAACTACAGCCTTTTAACTGCCACCACCTTCTGCCAGGGATGACAAACTTGTGCTTATCATATGTCTAAAAACCATTACCTCATACATATTGTGGTTTTTAGCTACTTAAGGTGGAAAAGTTAACCTGGTCCTTGTTCTGACACCACAGCAGAAAGCAGATGTCTTCACACTGAAAATATATCTACCACTTTAAAATGACCATCCTGCCACAGCCAATTTGGCTCAGTGGTTGGAGTATTGGTCCATGGGATAGATTCTGGTCAAGGGCATGTACCTCAGTTACAGGCTCAATCCCTGGCACCAGTCAGGGTGCATGCAGCAGGCAACCAACAGATGTATCTTTCTCACATCTATGTTTCTCTTCCCCCCCCACCCCACTGTCTCTGAGGAACAGAAAAAATATCCTTGGGTGAGAATTAAAAAGAAAAAATTAAAATAACCATCTTTTGTAACTTATGTACAACAAACACAACTTAATCATTGAATTATTTCAATAGGATGGAGCTTATAAAATTCTTTGACTTATTAAGACTACAATTCCATGTGAAAGCTCTCATATTCAGTATTTCCCTTATGTATGTATTCTTTAGTGTACTGTATGTTACCCTTATTTAATGAAATCTTTTTTTCACTTGCTATGACTTGTTTAGGTCTTTAAACGTCTAATGAGCTTTCAGTTTTGACCAAAAGTTTCTGTACTACCACAATGTTGATAAATGAGCTATCAATGGGCAATAAGTTGTGTCTTCCAGAAGGCTTTCTTATATTGTCTACTTTTTAAAAATTCTCTTCCCTAATTCTGTTTAGTGACACTTGCCTTACCAATAACAATTTTTTCCAAAAGTCACTGCAATGATAGTTTCTTTCCTGTGTGTGTCCTCAGAAGTATCAAGAGACATTACATCTGCTAGCAGCCTTTCCATACTCACTGCTCTCATGTGGTTTCTATGTTACATGATTTCTCTGGTGGATCACAAGCTGTGACTTCCTGTTGAAGGTAGTCCCACATTCATTGCACCCATAGTATTTATCACCTGTGTGAATTCTCTGGTGCCTCATAAGATGTGACTTTCTAGTGAAAGACTTCCCACACTCACCACATTTATAGGGTCTCTCTCCTGTATGAATTCTCTGATGTATAATCAGCTGTGCCTTCTCAAAGAAAGCTTTTGCACAATCACTGCATCCATAGGTTTTCTCTCCTGTATGATTTCTCTGATGCTTAACGAGCTGCACTTTCTGAACAAAGGCTTTCTCACATTCATTGCACGCATAGGGTTTCTCCCCTGTATGAATTCTCTGATGCCTAAGAAGCTGTGGCTTCCACGCAAAAGCTTTTCTACATTCACTACATTCAAAGGGTTTTTCTCCAGTATGGGTTCTCTGATGATGAATGAGACTTGATTTCTCACTGAAGGTTTTCCCACATTCACTGCATTCATAGGGTTTCTCGCCTGTATGAGTTCTCTGATGGGATATCAGGCTTGACTTCTGGGTGAAGGCTTTCCCACATTCACTGCATTCAAAAGGTTTCTCTCCGGTGTGTGTTCGCTGATGTGTGAGGAGCTGTGACTTCCCAAAGAAGGTCTTTCCACATTCAACACATCCATAGGGCTTCTCTCCTAAATGAAGTTTCTGATGTCTGATTAACTCTGACTTCTTAAAGAATGCTTCATTACAATCATTGCACTGATAGTTCTTCTCTCCTGTATGAGTTATTTGATGTCTAATAAGTTGTGGTTTTCTGATGAAGGCTTCACCACATTCACTGCATTCATACGGTTTCTCTCCTGTGTGAATCCTCTGATGCCTAATGAGGAGTGAGTTCCTGCTGAAGGCTCTTTTACACTCGCTACATGCATAAGGTTTCTTCCCTGTATGAGTCCGCTGATGAGTAATGAGCTGTGACCTCCAAAAGAAGGCTTTTCCACAGTCACTACATTTATAGGGTTTCTCTCCTGTATGTGTTCTCTGATGTGTAATGAGCTTTAATTTCTGGGAGAAAGACTTTCCACAGTCACTGCAACCATAGGGTTTCTCTATTGTATGGGTTACCTGATGTCTTTTAAGCTGTGACTTCCTGCTGAAGGCTTTTCCACATTCACTGCATCCAAAGGGCTTTTCTCCTGTATGAGTTCTCTGATGTAAAATGAGCAGTGACTTCCTACTGAAAGCTTTCGGACATTCACCACATCCATATGGTTTTTCTCCTGAATGTGTCCTTTGATGAATAGTGAGCAAAGACTTCTGTGAGAAGGTTTTCCCACATTCGCTACACCCATAAGGCTTCTCTCCTGTATGAGTTCTCTGATGTATAATAAGCTGTGACTTCTTGTTAAAAACTTTACCACATCCCATGCATAAGTAGACTCCTCTGTGTTTTCTATGGTTTGTAAGGAGCCATGACTCTTTATTGCTGGACTTTCTACATTTACTGCAATCACAGTATTTTATTTCACCATGGGTTCTGTCAGTTTTGATACAGAACAACAATTTCTTATTGAGCTCAAGTTTTTTTCTTCCACAGTTATTTTCTGGAACAAGAAAATCAAAAGCATGATTCAAACTTTCTTCGCTTGTGCCACATTTATGGAGTCTCATTCCTAAATGAACAAAGTCAATGCTTGAATGAAATACTTTCCCCAAAACATCATATTGATGGCCTCTCTCCATACTTTTAAGCTTATCTTGATTATTGTAGTACCACATTTTGAGATTATCATCTAGCCAGAGTGCTCCTAAAAAGGAAAAAAAACGAACCATACTGTGTAAATCCCTCAATGACTATGCTTACTATATAAAACTTCTGAAATGAAGCCTAGGTTCCCAGTACTCCCCCCCCCCAAATCTCCCCAAATACAATGTTTACTTATTAGCCATTAAAATTTTTTTAAAAATTAAAACAAGTTTTAAAAATTACAAATGTTTATAATAAGCACAAACTTTTAAATAAGGAAAGATAAAATATACTCAAGGAACAGTGATCATGAGATAAAAAAGACTGAAGTAATTTCTAATAAAATACTGGGGTGGTTAATTTACTTAAATTTGTTAGTAGCAGATCAGAGAAGAAGACAGATAAGTACTCCATCAGAGGGCTTACAATATAGGGAAGACTGAGAATAACAAATCCATAAAAGAGCAAGATACACACTGTTGAATGTTTTAAAGGAAGTACTACTGAATACAATGCACAATAAATGGAGGCTATCAACTTTACATCTGAAAAATGAGAAACATTAGTTTTCTTTATTATTACATTAAAAAAAACATTCTCATTCAAGATCATGGTATGAATCACTGATATCAGTAATACACCACCCTTAGAGCTGCTTCTTGGAATTATCCAAGAGTTCTCTGGAGCGCAGCTTCAACATTTTTAGATTTTTTTACCTTTTAATTGAATCTGTAACCTACATATTGAATCTATATATAATGCTGTCAGTGGAAATTATTCCAAACCACAAGAATTCTTTGCATAACATTAAAAATAAGTGCAATTGTTTGTAATTTCCAATACATAACCATGTATTGAATATTTTAAAGGGATTTAAAAAAAAAAATTATAAGAGAAAGTTTATTTAGAAAGTTACAGCCCTGGCTGCTGTGGCTTGGTTGAATGGCTTCCTGTGCACTAAAAAGTTGCCAATTCAATTCCCAGGAAGGGCACATGCCTGGGTTGTGGGCTCGACCCCTAGTAGGGGGCATGCAGGAGAAAGCCTATTGGTGTTTTGCTCTCACATCAATGTTTCTCTGTCTCCCTTCCTCTAAAAATCAATAAAAAATCTAAAAAAGGAAAAATCACAGCAGGTAATGACTAATAGTCTTACACCTAGCAGACTATTTGATGGGATGATTGAGAAGCTTTAGAGAAGCTAAAGGTCAAATGCACCAAACAGATGCTCTGGAACCTAAATGCCATGTACGATTCTGCATGGAGGCCAGGAAAAACAAAGCTCACTGTTTCAGGTATTCAGTTTCTGTCCTGTAGTCATGGAGTCATCTACCCTCTATGGGTTTAAAAGGAAACCTAACAAACTAGAGGGAGAAAAGAAAAATAATATAGGGAACTTTGGGTAATCAGTGCCACCTAAAATGAGGAAAACCTACAAATTCTTTAAGAGGAGAGGCGTTTGCCTCTAGGGCAGGAAAGAAGGAAACAAAGACTGAGGAGGCTGGAGGAAGAACCTTATCCACAGAAGCAAGGGCCTAAATGATTGGTCACCAACATGGGTAAGACAAGGGTGCATTTCATCATCAACTCCATGCAGAGAGGACACATTCTAACTTCGAGACCAAGATCTAGAGCACTTTAAAAATGATACAGAGCTATGTTACCAGTCCTGATTCAATTCTAAAGACAGACTTTAAACTGTTTTATACATAACATTTCAAGTGTGCCAACCTATCATTAAAAACCTGAGACTTACACCAGATTACCTCTCACCTGAGAAGTTGTGATTTAGGATTTCATTTATTTTCCAGGTCTCTTCTTGCTCCAGCTTGAAAACTCCATCAGGTTTGATAATTTGATAACCTATTAATTGGAAACACAGAGGACTTGGTCACAGTTGCTCGTGCTAAGGGACTCTTAAATGTGAAAAATATTTTGCTACAAAGGCTACAAAATAAAGTGAATACAAATATTTCAGTTGGGTATATAAATCAAATAACTGACATCTAAATTTTAAATCCAAATTCAGTAAAATCTGAGAGGCCCAACAGTTATTGGGCACACGGTGTATTACATAAAAATGTCTTACCCAAGAATACCAGATTGCTATAGTTCTCCAACATCACATCTCTGTACAAGTTCTTTTGGGTAGGATTTAGTAGCCGCCACTCCTCCAAAGTGAAATCCACAGCCACATCCTCAAAAGATATCTAGAAAAGCATAATCCCTGTTAAATCTGAAGTGATTCTCATGTAGAACGCAGGCTTTCTTCTCTATAGAGGTAGGCAGCCTCTACGTTGGCCTCAATGACCTCTAACTCCTGTTATGCATGCTTTTGTGTAATCCTCCCCTCCTGAATATGGGCTGGACTCACTGCCACTAAACAGAACAGGGCAGAAGTAATGGGATGTCATCTCCAAGATTAGCTTACAGAAGAATGCACTTCCATCTTGTGAACCCTCTCTTGCTCTCTCTGGGGGAATCCAGCTGCCATGCTGAGAGGCCGCCCTGTGCAGAAGCCCATGAGGCAAGGGGCTGAGGCCTGCCCACAGCCACATGAGTGAACTCGGAAGGGTATCATCCCCCTATTGCTCCCTGAGATGACTGCAGCCCTTCTCAATGTCTTGATTACGGAACGAAATGGGTAAGCAGCTGGCAGATTCTTAACCCACAGAAACTGCGAGATAAATGCTTCATGTTTTCAGCCACTAAGGTTTTGGGAAGTTTGTTACACAGCAGTATCACAACTAAAAGAATATCCTAATCTTGCATTATGCCTTGAGAGAGATACAAAATGTTATTAAAATGTTTATCATTATTAATTCATTCATCTATCCATTGAATAAGAAACTGAAATAGATTATCTTTAAACAAGCACAGTGTTTCTTAAGGAAGGTGTCACTGGTACTCAGGAACAATTCTTAGCTGAGCTCAGCTGCCTCACGTGGTAGAACCTTCAGCAAGCCTGGGCTCTCCCTGCTAAATGACAGCACCGTTTCTCAGTCGCTCTCAAACCCAAATCCCATCTACATATCTAAAACATTCTCTTCCCCCAGGGTGGTTCTGCTCCCAAGTAGGAACAACTAGTTAGTTCCTTTGATATCTTCTAGAACACAGACATTGTGCACATAAGGTTCCTGGAACTGTGATAGGTGCTAGAAATATAAAGATGATTGAGGAAAAAATCATGTTCACAAATACTTTGCCTTTTCGGACCAGAGGCAATAAGATGTTACAGAGGCCATGAAACAAAGACATACAGGGCATGGGGACGAAAGGCAAAGGAACTAGGGCAGCAAAAACAATTTGGAAAAAGAAAGTGCTGCAGGACTCACATGATCTGATTTCAAGACTTCCTATAAAACCATAAGAGTTAAAACAAGGTGGTATTAGAGAAAGAGTAAATACACAGATGAGGGGAATGAACAGAGAGCCTAGGAACAGACACCCACAAATATGCTCAATTGATTTTTTTGGTTGGATATTTTTTTTTAGTTTATTTCTGTTTATTCTGGTTTTTTTCTTCTTTTCATTTTTTTGCTATTATTAATAATGCTGGGATGATCATCTTTTTAATTAAATTGTAGGACGCGTACATTAATTATTTTCAATTGATTTTTTACAAAGGTACAATGGAACCTGCCAAGTCCTGGCTGCGATGTTGATTACATGAATTTACACACTTTAAAACTCATATGAGGAATCCGGCTCCTGGCTAAAAACCAGGATTTTTCAGGCCCAACTAGACAATGACAAAGGCTTTACCTGGCAGGCCTCCAGCGGACACTGCCCTCCTGACACCAGACCTGGTAGGCAGACTCGGAAGGAGCTGCAGCCACGTCTTTCACAGCCAGTCCTCCAAGTTATTTTTTGGAACCAGCAGGCAATATGCTGAGGTCTTCTAGAATTTCAGCTCTTTGCATAACAACATTCTTCCCAAGCTTATCCTGTTTTCTCTGGTTATGATATAAATGTATGTATACCGTTCCTGTTGCTTGTAGAGATTCCTGTTGCTTGTAGAGATTCCTGTAAGTCTCATCACAACCACAGAAAAACTTCTGGAGAATAAACAGATAACTCACCTGTGACGTGATCATTTTCTGTTGCTTTTGGGAATTCTGCTGCTCTGGGCTTTCTCTCTGTCCTGACGCTCTGGGAACAGCCTCTGGTCAAGAGCTGTAAACTGTACTTCAGTCCTGAGGCGTTGCCTTCCTTACCTCACCTGAGCCATCTTGTATCTGAGAGCCATGGCCTGGAGATGCAGTGGGAATTTTATTTTAGATGGTGTAATTAATTTGGGAACCTAAATCTTGGTTCTCTCTTACTGGGATCTCAGACCAGTTGTTTACTGCACTCCAATCAGAAGCAGGATTAAATCTAAGTCACCAGTAGATCTCAGCTGAGGCTTACACTGCCCTTAGCAGCCCTGGCTCCCACCTGGAAATGCCAGACTGAAGCCACTCATCTGTTCAACCAAACACACCCAGAGCTGCCCCCCAGAATGCTCAGCAGAGACCTCAGCAAAGTCTGAACATACAATCTTGGCTCACTCATTCTGCAGCAACATTTCCAGGGGGCACTTAAATCAAATTACTTGCATAGTAAATGCAACTCATTTCTGGGCAGGATGGTAAATAGAACTGGCTTTTAGATCAAGATGGTGAAGTAGCCTAAGATGCTGGTTCTCTATTTCAAATTCAGCCCTGGAGCAATAGAAGAGCACGGATCAGAGGAACCAACAGAAACAGCAACAAGAAGAGAGACCATGGGGAAGACAGGCTATGGTGAAGCTGACATACATCGCATGTGTGACAGCCTAGAGCAGAAGGCAGCAAGAGGCCTAAGGAAACCTGTAATGTTGCTGCTTTCTGGGCTCCCACTGGGGCAGATACTGCCCACCTGTTCCCTCAGAAACCAGCACAAACAGCCCCGGACACAGGTTTCCAGGGATAATCGAGGAGTATCAACCTCCTGCTGAATTAAGGAATCATGCAAATGGCAAGCAATGCCCAGCTGCCTTTGGGAGTTAACTTATTTCTTACCTCCCCCTCCATTCCCCAGGGAAAATGCTCCACCAGGGCTTCTAAGGGTCCCTGACACCTGGCCTGAAGAGCTGCTTGGAGAGGTGGTGGGACTCCGCTGTCCAGTGGTTCTACAGGTTCCTTTCCCTCTCTTCAGAGGCCTGGCCTCAGCCCTTCCCTGCTGCAAATTACCAGAGCTTGTACCGAGAGAAGCTAACACCTCTAGGGGAATAGAGCTCAGAGTCCTATGACGGCAAATGTAAACTAAAAATAAATTTAAAAAAACTAATTCTCCCTCATGCACAAAAGGGGGACTTCCCAACCCCTATTCAAAGAGCATTTACTTAAGAAAACCTGTAACTGTAACCTCCTTCTCTGCCCCTTTGAAATATGTTACTCTTTTTAAAGCTAAATAAGCCTTGTCCAGTTTAACAACCCAAAAATGTCTTTCTTAAGGACCTGGAAGCCATCTCTTTGAAATCCTCCAGGAAGGTCAGCCATCTCCTAGTCTCTGGGACGGCAGGAGTCTAATCAACACGGCTTTGGCACCAGGCTCCAAGTGGTAAAACTACCTCCCGTCATAAAGATATGAAAGGTTTGTTTTTTTCTTTGGATAAAGGCAATTAGCTAACACAGATGACCACCCCACTCACCAGGTAAATTTAGTATGGGCTATGTGTGACAAATGATAATTTACCTTGAGAACATATGTATGGTAGGTTGTATCTACCTGGCTACAGAAAAGGGTGAGCTTTCTCCCCTTCTCGGCAGTCTCTTTAGGGGACTGCCTGCAATGCTCATCCCATTCTGGTTTAATTGCTACTCAATAATAAAATTGTTTTTCTTTCTCTTCTACTTTTATGGAGGTTTTCTGGGTTTTCAGATTACGGTTTAATTATTTCCCTAACAGGTGAAATAACCAGATAAGTGAATACCACCACTATTTTTACTACCTTTGAAAGATTACAAACTCTGTAACAGATACCACTTTAGGTGGAATAATTGGGACAGACAAACCAAGATTTAAGACAAGTAAAATAAAAAATACTACGTTTTGATGCATAAAAATACTTACACTGACTTTCTTCACTGCTCATCAACCAAGTCACTTACACTCAGCCAGACCTGGGATCAGAGAACAACTTCATGGACACAGGTCCTACAAGGTTATTTCCTTCCTTCATAAGAACACACCTGAAGGGAAATGTCCAATAAACTCAGTACCTGGTAAACTTTGGGACAGGAGGGACAAATTCCACCTTTCCTAGCACTCCTGCCACAGGCAGACAGCTCACTAGGGAGACTGAACACGGTGGACAGTCAGTGGGAATCTTTCCAGCAAATAAACAGAGCAAGGAGAGACTTCTACCTGCTAGAGCAAGAGCTCTCTGTTTGGAGGCACTGTTTTACTAAAGAACGGGGAAAGGTGTCTTCACTGACCCTGTGGATATAAATGGGTATAGAGAGAGGTGGGTGAAGCGTACACTCATCTGCCACAAATGAGGGGAGAAAGTTAAACCCGGGTGTTAGCAAACTGCCAGGTTTTGCCCCAGGCCAGCTACCAGGAGCGGAGTCAGAACACTGACCCTTAGAGGCAGTTAGGACCCACCCCCGGAGCTGGGGGAGGGCTGGATTTGGACCAGACAAGCCTGTTCTCATCACCACACACTCAGGAGCCGCCCTCCCACGCAGCCAGCAAGGATAGATTCCTCGAGTGAAGCCGGACTGTTCTTAGTCCAGTGCGAAGGGTGTGGGGCTTGACGGAGGGAAAATGTCCCGGGGGCGCGGCCAGCAACACGCAGAAGGCACCTCCTCCCAAGGGGCCCGGAGCTCCTCGGCGCTCGGGGTACAGGGCGGGGCTCCCCCTCGCTGCCGACCCCTGTTGCCCGGGGCCCCCACAGCTGCCACCCGTCTGCGGACCTCGCAGAGCCCCTCCCAGAGGTTCACCCCAGAGGCCCCGTCACCCAATTAACTCCCCGCAGGGGCTTCGCGACCACGCATCCCCGCCAAGCCCCAAGCTACCGGTTTTCACAGATTTAATCCGCAAGCGTCCGCAGATTAATCAGCTCCCCGATCTCCGCCCTGCGGCCCACACC